TATTTTATTAATTAAGAAAAAAATGGAAATAAAACCTAAACAGCTAACTCATGTTAAATGTGGCGTTGATATAAATATATGACTTGTCTATTTTTGTCTTCATTCATTAAAATCAGCGACATTAATTTCTAACCACAGGTCTTCACCTGGCGTCGACAACTTAAAATTGTCATTAATCAAATAAAATTGGTTACAAACAAAAACAAAATGAAACACACCAGTCAGCAAAGTCAGTCAGTCTGGCGAAAAAAAGAAACAAATGAAAATGATTATAATGAATTTTTTCTCTTTCTTTGCTTTTGTACATTTAAAAGAAAAATATAATTATAACTTGTGTCATCTCGTCTTTTGGTTTGTATTTTGCCAACAATTTAATCATTGGTTGGTCTCTGCGGCAACATTATGAAAGCAATCATTTGGAGGTTTATTTTCTTTAGTTTTTATTTTTCGTTTATTTATTTTAAATATTAACTACAATTAAATTTTGAAGAAATGAACATGAAAGATGAAACTGATGGTTAAACTAAATCACCTGTCGCCTCAACAAAAAAAAAAGAGCCTTGCAAGAAAAAACGTGTCATAATGTTTAGAAATTGAAATTCTTGATTAATAGTATTTACATAAATAAATGGGATATATAAGTAAAAGCCTTAGGTTATAATGTGAAATGTGCAAACCTATAGAAATACTAATAGTAAAAATATATAATTGTAGACTATAGACTAGACTACAGACCAGACTAAATACTGGACTATAGACTAGATTATAGATTAGACTATATACTAAACTATAGACTAGACTATAGACTAGACTATAAACTAGACTATAGACTGTACTATAGACTAGACAATAGACTAGACTATAGACTAGACTATAAACTAGACTATAGACTATAGACTAGACTATACTATAGACTAGACTATAGACTAGGCTATTGAAAATGCTATGTACCAGACTATGGACTAGGCTATAGACTAAAAAAAAGTATTCTACCCAAAAATTAAAATAATTTATTTTTGCAAAAACTTCATATTATAAATAAAATCTTTAAATTATTTTATATACTTACGACAGATATGACATCAATCGGGACAAGGAAAACTTTATTACAAAACTTATTAAACGCCTGCAGCATACGATGTGATGTAGTGTTTAACAAAATGGAATAAAATTTGTATACAAAAAAAAAATGTCTAAAAACAGTAGTAATGTTATTTTCTTTTTCTACTACCTTCCTAGAAAGCCAGGTTGTCATAGTTGTATACAAAAGAAACATCTTGCTTTTTTGCAATGGCCTTGCTTGTGGGTGCTACATCATCATCGTCATCATCAACCGCTTCTCCATAGTCATCTTTGGCTTTAGCCACCAAATCTCCCTGTAAGTGGGTGCTGTTTGTTAAAGTATTGTTTCCTTTTATTTAATAGTGTTTCTCTGCTGTACAAGTTTATTTTGACCAAAATAACTAACTACATGTTTTTGTTGTCTACCCGGTGTTGTACTATCTTGTTTTCTTCTATTACTTTTTGTTAAAACATTTTTTTATTCGTTTTTGTCAAAATCATGATAATCATTAGTTGTTGTTGTTGCTGTTATTTTGTTGTTTGTTGCAGAGAAGAAAACACCAAATAAAAAATAGTCAAAATACAGAAACATCATCATGTTGAGATTTGTTTAAAATAAAAATAAAATAAATTTCTAATTTGCTACTTTTTTCACTCGTGTTGTACATGTATCAAAACAAATGTTTTCTATCATTTGTTGTTATTGTCGTTGTGGCAACTGAGAATTGTGTTGATAAAACAAATGAGTTTTTTTTTCAGTCATTGATTGTTTCTATTATCAGATTTGTTGTTCATGTGGACAGTGAAGAGATATTAATTAGGAATTTTTGTTAAAATTATAATTTGGTGACTTTGGAATCCCAGTTTCCCAGACGCAGTTCCCTCGGTTTTCATTAAGGATTGATATTAACTTATTGATTAGCCTTAAACCAATCAAACTCCACTTACGTAAGTGATGCAAGAGGCGTGAGGCTAGGAGAAGGAGAACGAAACGAACGAACGAACAACGAACGAACGAACGAACGACGAAGAAACGAACGAACGATACGAACGAACGAACGAAAGAACGAACGAACGAAGAACGAACGAACGAACGAACGAACGAACGGAACGACCGACTCGAACGAACGACGAACGAACGAACGAACGAACGAACGGAACGAACGAACGAACGCAACAACGAAACGAACGAACGAACGAACGAACGAAGAACGAAACGAACGAACGAACGAACGAACGAACGAACGAACGAACGAACGACGAACGAACGAACGAACGAACGAACGAACGAACGAACGAACGAACGAAACGAACGAACGAACGGAACAACGAACAACGAACGCGAACGAACGGAACGAACGAACGAACGAAACGAAACCGAACGAACGAACGAACGAATCGAACGAACTTAGACGAAACGAACGAACGCACGAACGAACGAACGAACGAACGAACGAACGAACGTAACGAACGAACGAACGAACGAACGAACTGAAACGAACGAACGAACGAACGAACGAACGAACGAACGAACGAACGAACGAACGAACGAACGAAACGAACGAACGAAACGAACGACGAAACGAACGAACGAACGAACGAACGAACGAACGAACGAACTAACGAACGAACGAACGAACGAACGAACGAAACGAACGAACGAACGAACGAACGAAACAACGAACGAACGAACGAACGAAAGAACGAACGAAGAAACGAACGAACGAACGAACGAACGAACGAACGAACGAACGAACGACGAACGAACGGAACGAACGACGAACGAACGAACGAACGAACGAACGAACGAACGAACGAAGAACGAACGAACGAAACGAACGAAAACGAAGAACGAACGAACGAACAACGAACGAACGAACGAACGAACGAACGAACGAACGAACGAACGAACGAACGAACGAACGAACGAACAACGAACGAACGAACGAACGAACGAACGAACGAACGAACGAACGAACGAACGAACGAACTAACTAACGAACGAACGAACTAACGAACTAACTAACGAACGAACTAACTAACGAACGAACGAACGAACTAACGAACTAACTAACGAATCGAACGAACTAACTAACTAACTAACTAACTAACTAACTAACTAACTAACTAACTAACTAACTAACTAACTAACTAACTAACTAACTAACTAACTAACTAACGAACTAACTAACTAACTAACTAGCTAACTAACTAACTAACTAACTAACTAACTAACTAACTCAGTGTACATGAACCGCAATAGTAATCAAGAAGAAATTTCTCCCCCAAATGAATACCACCTGCTGCAAATACCCTACTTAAATTAATTTAAATATATTAAGCAATTATTAACATTATTACTTATTTTTATTTTCTATTTATTATTAAAAAAAATATTTGCTCTATTCACTGCCGCATTACAGCTGTAATAATAGACATTGTAAATCTTTTGTGTCTACATTGAGTGCAACATTAAAGAAAGACAGATTTCAAGACACAATATCCAATTACACTGAATTCGAAATAAAAATCGCCAAATAATTGAAATGACTTACGTAGAGCAAAAGGAGTAAAAAAGAAAAAACTAAAATTGCAATAAGAAATAACTTAAAAGCATACAAAAAAAAATATGTAAGTCTGGAGAAAAATATCAAGAGATCGTGATGGGTAGAGGTTGATTTCTTTTTTCTTTAATACAAAGAAATATAGAGTCGTATTGTCAAACTGCAACTGTAAAACACTAGAAAAATGGAGAAGGAATACAAAAAAAACCTACTCCTCTATGGCACACAGCACATTAAGCAGCATTAGCACCAGCAGCTGATCAAAGCGTGTAAAATGCTGCTCGTGGAATATAGTTTCTGGATTTTTTCCTCTTTTTCTATAAATCAAACATTATAGTCTTTTATGGTCTTAATGAATGAATGAACGAACATACCAATACTTACGTATGTACATATGTATGTGTGTTGATAGTGTTTGTTTGTTTTGGTGGCATATAGTGTAGTCATAGTGCAACAATTTGACATGTGTTTAAAAACAGTTTTTGCACTTTTCTCGATATCTTAAGGTATATAAAAACTTTTGTCCGTCTTGCCATGCGATTGACGTTTTTGTAAAGAAATCTTAATATAGTTTTTTTTCTGTTATTTTGGTTTTATTTAGATAAATTGATTTCTGCCTTCTGTTTTTAGTTTTCTTTTGATTTCAATTTTATGTTTTTTTATTTATTTGTTAGTGTTTTAGTTTATTTATTACTTTTGTAAGTTTTTTCCTCCAAAATTTTTTTGTTGAATTCGTGTGCCACTGGACTTGGTCAACAAACGTCACTCAAATTGAGTAGTTTAAAACACTTAGTGGTTTTAAAAACAACAACAAATCAGCAGCAGCAGCAGATCAACCAAACCACCAACCGACCGAACAACAAACAAACAATTTAGGACAAAATTTCAAAATTGTCTTGTATCTTGTATTTTTTCGTTACGAATCTTGTATCGCATTCTATGCAAATCATTGTGGTATTTACTGCGAAATGTTTTAAAGTTTTTTCCTCTCTGTTATAGTTTTTTTTGCGATTTGGTTACAAAATCGTGTTTACACTTTGTCACCCTTTTCTGTCAATAAGATTTATAGTTTTATTTTGAAATTTTGTATAATTTTTTTTTTTTTTTTTTTACTTCTTATAAATAAAATACTTTAGTGTACATGAACAACAAATAAATAAAACACAGAATAAGTGTTTAAAACACTTAAAGACTCTTTGGTAGAAAAATACAACAAAAAGAAATATTTAAACGTGATAGACAGCATGTCCATTATATAGATTAGAGTTATCAGACTTATATAAAGTATTTTAAAATTTCTTGCATTTTTAACATATTTGTTGAAATTTATGTATTAATTTATTTTCTTTTCATTCTCCCTCTGTTTCGTTGCAGCTGTACTTTAATTAAAAACAAATAAATTGTAAATAAATTCCTCTGCCGCAACAATTAATAAATAAAAGTGTGTCTTTTACACCTACAACCTGCCTAAATGATTGGCACCGATGAAATGTCATCCACTGGCATGGATATTAGTGAATCCTTTCGTCCGGAGGATATATCGAAAACAGATTTTTTCGATTTTGTCACAGCACCCGATATGGGTATTGGCCTAGGCGTCAATGTTAATTTACATCATAGTCATCATAATCATCAACAGCAGCAGCAGCAGCAACATCATCATCACCATCATCATACGCCACAGCAGCAACAAACACAACATCAACAGCAGCCACAACCTCCGCTCTCAATGACACAACAACAACAACAGCAACATCATCACAGTAATAATACACATCCTCATCATGCGTCTCAACACCAACATCAACAACAACACACTTCTAGCACGGAACGAACAATGACACATGATGGTGGTGGCGGTGGTGGTAATGGTGGCAATGTTAGTATAGGTACTAGAGGTGGTGACAGTCATAATGATGCTAGTGGTTTAAGTGATGGTAGTTCTGCGAGTACAACAGATCCAACATTACATGGTTATGAGGTAAGTTTATTACATGTAAATATATTTTTAAGCGTTTCAGGTTTATTTCCTACTAACTGCAAGTTCGGAAGTTGCATTAAAATCGGTAGGCTATGAATTAGGGAGGTAGACTCTAAAATAGATTAATACTGGACTATAGACCAGACTATAATTTAGAATTTACTATAGACTAAACTATAGGCAAGACTATAAACTAGACAATAGAATATACTATGAACCAGATATATTAGTTTAGAATTGGCTAGAATAGACCTGACTTGACTATAGACTAGACTATAGACTAGACTATAGACTAGACTAGACTAGACTATAGACTAGACTATAGACTAGACTATAGACTAGACTATAGACTAGACTATAGACTAGACTATAGACTAGACTATAGACTAGACTATAGACTAGACTATAGACTAGACTATAGACTAGACAATAGACTAGACTGCAGACTAGGTGAAACGTATCTTTATGGTAAAATAACTTTTATACTAGAGCCACTCCCTGTCCTAAAGTACCACACACGGAACTAGGTCTATATGGCCTATAGACCAGACTATACACTAGTCTATTGACTAGACAATAGATTAGACTATATACTACACTCTAGACTATGGGCTAGACTATAGACATGAATATAGACTACACTATAGACTAGACTTTACAGTAGAGTCTAGACTATATCAAAGACTATACTATTGACTAGACTATAGAAGAGACTATAGGCTAGACTATAGACTTTAAAATAGACCAGACTATGGACTAAACTATATACTATACTAGACACTAATCTATAGACTAAACTATAGACCAGACTATAGACTACAATAAAGACTAGAGTATAGGCTAGACTATAGACTAGACTCTCTCTTTCCCTTCCTGTGATGAGTAAAGATGTTTGAGCTGTGCAAATATCAGCATAAACCTGTAGTGTATAAATTAGACTGTAGACTAGATTCTAGACTATGGACTAGACAAGAATATATACTACACTATAGACTAGACTATACACTAGAGTATAGACTAGATTAAAGACTAGACTATAGAAGAGTCTATAGGCTAGTCTATAAACTAGGTAATAGACTAGACAATAGACTAAACTGTAAACTTAACTATAAACTAAACTATGGACTAATCTATAGACCAGACTATAGACTAGACTCTCTGTCACTCCCTTCCTGGGATAAGTTAACATGTTTGAACTGTGCCAATAGAACTCTCCCCTCTACAGCTGTATGAATATAAACATTTTTAATGATGTTCCAAAAGGTTAAACGTGTATTTATAGTTCAATAACTTTTAAACTAGAACCAGTCCCTACCCTAAATAACCAGACACGGAACTAGTTTTTTTTTGACAATTTTCTTTCTTCTAGGAAGGTAATCAAACACCCTCTACTAACTCGCGTGGCGACTATTAAAATTAAGCAAACTAGATACAAGTACAATAATTCAAACAAAAGACTTAAAACACAAACCTGCAGTAATTATATACAGATTAAATTTTCGATTAATAGCACCCAACTAATTGAATTTAATTTAGTTTTTATGCAATTTTAAACAGCAAAAACCTGAATTTTTAATTAAATTATTGCAAAATTTTATGTGGTCCTGGTTAATTTATTCTTAAACAACAGTCGCATATTGTATGCTGTTAAGTGTTTATTTTAAAATAATATTTAAAAATATATGAGAAAAAAATTGCATTCGTAATTTCGTATATTCTCACATATAATTACTTTTTTAAAGAGTTTTTTTTTTTTTTTTTTTTTTTTTTGGGAGAAATTTTTTTTGGTTATATTTGTATGAGGGTAATATATCATGACTGCTGCCACAGTATGATGTTTGCAGTTGATTTATGCTGTAGTTTTTGTTTGGCGTATATGAATATTTTAACTTTGAATAAGCGTATGACACTTGACAGTAAAAGCGTGTAATTTTTTGTTATTTACGCATTTAATGTTATTAAATTTAACATCTGTGAGTTTCTAAAACAACTCATGAGATGGCTACACGTGAGCTTAATATATTAATGAGTTTTTGGATTTTTGTTAATTTTACTTAAATGGCAGAAATGGTAGAAATAGTAGACTAAACTTAAGAACCTGTTAAATGTTTAAAATACTTTGTATTTAAGCTTTTGGGGTTGGTATACGGAATAGAGTATGATGTGTTGAAAACATTTATTATAATAATTGTTAAATATATCAATGTTATTGATTTGAAATTGATATTTTGTCTTCAAATTGTACTAACTATAACACTTGTTTTTTTAATATGGCAAGCAAAAAAAAAAAAAACTTATCGAAAATCCCCAGCACGTTTTTAAATAACACCTTGTTAATATAGTTAAAATAGTATATTTCCTAGAGTCACAAAACATTATTTTATATTTGGTATGTTTTAGTCTTTTTAATATTTTTGTCACATGGACTCTATAACAAGTGTTAAACCACAAAAATATGTAACACAATATCAAATGCCTGTTGGCTTAATGGCTGACTGAGTGATAGACCAACTGCAGCCAACTAAAAATCAACCAACTTTAAACAGAAGCCTCTAAATTAGAAACAATAATGATTAAACAACAAAATAATACAAATTTTTGTATGTTTATTACAGACATACTATATACACAGACAAACTAAACAAAATAATGAAATAACTTGAAAATTAAATTTATGCAAGTATTTTCAACAAAATATAAAAAATGAAACTAAGTATTTTTGTGGCAAGTTTTGGAAAATAAAGCACCTGTAGTTTTATGGTATAAAACTAGTATAATGTTTAGTATTAGTGTTTAAAAATATATTTAAATTATTTGGCAATAATTGTAAACTACTTTAATAAAGCATTTTTTTTATAAGCTTTATTATTTTAAAGTTATTTTATTTCTCAATTTCTTAATGATAAATTGAAATATAATGAAAAATATTTTTGTTAAATTTTAATTAAAATGAAATTTTTTTACCAACTTAACAAAATAATGTTAAATGTTTAGTTTCCTGTCTAAAAAAACTAAACTAAATATTTCAATTTATAAACTTTAAATTAAATTAGAGCACATTTGGAATAACAAACCAGCTTGTGCCTTCAGTCTTTTGTTTTAGCAATGAAATTTTTGAAATTCTTTTGTATGTTTGTGACACTATTTGAATTTATAAAAAAAAAAACAAATAAGAATTTAATTGTATTACTTGTCCTAAATAAAATAGAAAATTACATACATAATTGAGACCAAAGAAACAAAGTTATCTCTTTTTTGAGACATAAAATGGTTAATGGGAAAGTAAATAAATCGAAATTACAATAAAATAGTTTAGAAACTATTGATTTTATTGTCTGTACATAACTTCAAGTGAAAAAATGTGGTAGCAACTGGTTGGGGAGAAAATGGGTAAATGACTTTAATAGTTCTTGTGATTTTAAACAAGTAAGAGTGTTATATTCGCCCATGCCGAATCTTATATACCCACCATCATATCATAGTTATTAATGAACTTAGATGTTATCGAAGCAAATTTTCTCATTTATTAGATCTATGCTGGATTTTATCATCATATGTATGTGAAAGAGGGCCTTTAATAAGGGCTTAAGTAAGGACCCTAATATTCCGAAATAAAACTTTAAATTTTTTTGTCCAAAATCTATAACCATTAACTGTTTTTTGTAAGAGTGGTTATATGGAGGGTAGATACAATGGACCTATCCTCATCGGTTTATACAATAATTATTTGTATCGAATTTCATCGCTGTACTCGTATCTTTAATTTAGTTATGAGGTTTAAAGTAATTTTCTGAAGGAAACCGATAATGGGGCGTTGGATCAGTTATCGACCGATTCCCATCAAATTTAGTTGAAAAATTTCAGTTCCTATATAACTACCGTAATTTGGAAAAACTTTTAAGCCATCGATGAGCGTTAAAGTCATTTTCTGAAGTGAATCTTATATAAGGGTCAATATTAGACCGATCTTCATTAACTTTTGTACATAATGTTTCGTAAAGAAGTTGTTTATTCGAATTGCATCGCCTAAGTAGTAATTTTAAGTAACTGATGAGAGTTAAAGTAATTTCACTGAAGTGGTAATTTACTGATATATCTTCATCAAAGTCCGTAGGAAGATTTCAGTTTATGTTTAATTTCATATGCCTACTCGTATTTTAATGCCAGTTATGAGCGTTAAAGGTGCCCTTATATGGGGTTGGGTCAATTATGGACCGATTGGGGGCTAAGCGAAATCGTGGACCGATATTTCCCATTTCCAGTACCAAACAAACTGCATCGATTAAAAGTATCTGTGCAAAATTTCAGCTCGCTAGCTACTTCCATTTGGACTCTATCGTGTTTTCAACAGACGGACAGACAGACAGACAGACAGACAGGCAGACAGACGGACGGACATGGCTAGATCGTCTTAGATTGTAATAAGGACCCAGAATATATATACGTTTATGGGTCTTAGAAGAATATTTCAATGTGTTATAAATATACCACCCATCATTTTTGATGATGGGTATAAAAATCTACATATGAAAACCAAGAATCTCCAAACATTGCTAGATATTCCCCAATTGAAACTTATAGAACCCTTATCGACGTTAAATTAAAATAAAATTTAAATTTAAAATGTATAATAGAATATCACGTGAACACTCCCAATCTTTAATTGTTGTTTAAGTTCAATAAATGAGGTACCATTTGATGACAAAAAGTACACAGATGGAAAGAGAAATATACACGCCTGGTACCACATTGACACCAAACTGTTTATAATCTTTCAATACCATCCGTTGTCAGAGTATATACATACGTACGACAACACTATGTAATGTTGACAACATTGCAATAATTCGTTGTGGAAATCTAAATTTTATGCACATCCGTTTTATAAATGTTAACAAATGTGGTAAGCTCAATATTGACAAACAATCCGTCGTCTATAGTGAGCTTACCACGTTTGTTAAAATTTAGACAAAGTACCGGCAGAGGAAGGACAACGAATGGTTGCAATGTTGACAACGTTGCATTGTCAACATTACATAATGTTGTCGTACGTATGCATATACTTCGACAACGGATGTTATTGAAAAATTATAAACTCTTTGGTGTCAATTTGGTACCAGCGTTTATATTTCTTTTTCCTTTGTGTACCAGAATGTTCTAATTTATAGATTCGGTTTTAAAAAGGTTTTAAATTACTATATATTTGGTCCTAGAAAGGGTTTGGAATGAGTTTGAATTAATATAAATTCCAATATTTATGACCTTTTTTGTACTTTTTCTATCCAAAATTGATGTAATAAAAATATTAATTGAAAAATTTCGTCATCATAATTTCAGCCTTTTAATAAGTATACATACTTACAAACCAATAAATAGAAATTAATATTTTATAAAAAAAGTACCAAAAATAAGTACGATTTGTATCCCTTAAACGTACGAATTCCTCAAAAGTACCAAATTTATATTCGTAGTTTTTCAAAAAGTAACGAATGTGATATAAACTTTACATCCATGTTCAGAGCTATAAAGATACATGAGTTCCAAAAAAAAGTACCAACATATAGTTTTTACCCGCTTACTACTAAAAAGAAACAAGTTTCGTGGTTTTTTAATAAACCACGATGAGTGTAATCTTTTTATTGTATCTGTTTTTGTTTAGGAGAAATTAGGTTACCTATATATTCGAATTTCCAAAAATCCCTCCTAAGTGGATCTACATGACCAAATTTGGATCTACTGTATAAATATCATGGTTTTAGGTTCAGCCGTTTAGGTGTCCGATGCACTTACAGGCGAACAGCTCTTATCTTTGGAAAAATTGCCGCATCTTAGAGGCACTGATGACCGATAGAATGGCAACAAGGGATACATTATCAATGTATACTGGTCGCAATGGAAGGCTATACACAAATATTAGGACACTCCCGATCTCATACCAAAATTTGTTTGGGAACTTAGAATATCATGATCAAGGGCAACATTAGAGTAAATATCAAGCCCAAAATGGGCTTGAGGATCTATAGTGAAAATCCAAGTAACATCAACCTTAGCTTTCAGACAAAAGTCCATTCCATAACGGAATTTGTAAACTCGATTAGAATAAATCAGACAGAAATTAATTTGGGCGATATCAAGTGATAAAGTTATATCTAAGAAGGTACTGGAGTGTATGAGAGCCTTAAACGAATACTCTTCAAGACTTAAGCTTTATATCATGTGGATACCACATTACTCGGGATTAAACGGCAACGAAAGAGCGAATGAACTTCCAATAAAAAAAACGGGATTAGATAAAGTTAACCTGAACATAACTTTTTCATAAAGCCATTAGCAAACAAACTTACAAGTTTTTAAATTAATTAATTTTAAAAACCAAACAACAACTAAATGCAGCTCAGAAACCATATAAAAAAATCTTTAAAAAATTTCAGTAATAAATATCTCTATTAAAATCATAAAACCTAATACAAGTATGAAAACTATAAATCTTAACATAATCCAGAAAATTGACCTTTTTCCAACATCAGGTTTTTACTCTTGTTACAAACAGCACGTGCCCTTGTTTTCATTCATTCATAGATATATCCCCACTCTGCCAACTTCACTTACAGACATGTCAAAAAAAAAATTTTTTTTTTACGTGTCGCCATATGTTTGATTGTCTATATGGTTTTTTTTTTAACAATATTTGCTCCAATTTTCCACAAAGCATTTAAGTTTTGATATTGTTTCTCTAACTGATACAGTTAGTTGTGGCTGGTAACGCGTACCTTCCACTACAATGCAGCTAAAGTGGTAAGTACTTACTCTAAAAATAAAACAAAGAGGGAAAAAAAGTCATGTCGTTTCTATATAAAGATAACGTGCCTTTAGGTTACGTGTATGATTTTATTGACATGATCAGTAACTGAAAAAAAGAGAAACAAAAAAATACTTACAATAACCACTGAAAGATCATGTTATTGTCCACATGGTGGTGGTAACGTTTTTTTATATCTCGTTTTTTTTCTATTTTATTTGAAGTTTTAGAAATGCAATTTCTATGACATGTTGTAATACACGTTTAAAATGCCTTTCTTTTTGTTAGTGTTTTGTTTTAATGGAAGAAAATTTCCTTTGATATTTCGTTTCGTTTCAAACTTTTTTTTGTTACCTCAAACACATGTCAATTGGTAGCGATTAAGTTAGATCGTTAGCTGGGTCTATTCGAATATATTAATGTTTTTCTACAATAAGATGACATTTAACATGACAGGTACATTTGTTGTTTAATACAATAATTTCGTTTACGAAAATTGCGTTGATTTTGTTTAACTTAATCTGTTAAATTTTTAAATTTAACTACAACCACACATACACAGTTAAACATTTTTATAAAATCTCTTTTTTATTACTATCTTTTTCAGTTTTGGTCTACAGACAAGGAGCACACTTCTACCATCTTTGAAGATTTAGATCGTTACTGCTGGCAGCAACAATCAAACAACACTGCCTCTACCAATAATTCCTCAGCCTCTGTAATGCATCATTCATCACCTGCCCCGACATTGAATCCCCTACACACGAGTTCGGTGAATCCTACGTCACCGCATAATCATCATTCGCCCGCAACACCTGTAACCACACCCACTTCGTTGACCTCAACACCTGTGCCACAAACACAACTGAATAGTGATGGTACCATTTCGAATATCATCTCTACCGATGGCCAAATTTATACACTGACAGTATTAAACGGTAATGAACCATGGTTAAAACGAGATTCGGATGCTCACCTTAATAGCACCTTAGATTTAGACAGTCTATTGGGTACATTTCCGGGTTATATTAAATCAGAATATCCTTATGATGATAGTGGTTTTAGTACGGACGGTTGTAAGGATGTGAATAGTGATGCCACAAATGTTATGAATAGTAGTAGTGGTGGTGGCAATGCCCCTGGTCTTGTCAATAACCAACGTTTACCTTCTTTACTTAACACTATTTCGGTGACGAGTAGTGGGACGGGAGCTGGTAGCGGAAATGTCTCAAATGCAAATGATAGTGTTTCAACAGCTTTAAGTATTGGCCAACAATTGGATCAGTTTCATAATAACAATAATGATTGGCATATGACGGATAATAATAATGAGCAGGTAAGTTGATGAAAATTAATCAGTTAATATATATATTAACTAGAATTGAACTAGAACTGAACTAGAACTGAACTAGAACTGAACTAGAACTGAACTAGAACTGAACTAGAACTGAACTAGAACTGAACTAGAACTGAACTAGAACTGAACTAGAACTGAACTAGAACTGAACTAGAACTGAACTAGAACTGAACTAGAACTGAACTAGAACTGAACTAGAACTGAACGAGAACTGAACTAGAACTGAACTAGAACTGAACTGAACTGAACTGAACTAGAACTGAACTAGAACTGACTAGAACTGAACTAGAACTGAACTAGAACTGAACTAGAACTGAAACTAGAACTGAACTAGAACTGAACTAGAACTGAACTAGAACTGAACTAGAACTGAACTAGAACTGAACTAGAACTGAACTAGAACTGACTAGAACTGAACTAGAACTGAAACTAGAACTGAACTAGAACTATGAACTAGAACTGAACTAGAACTGAACTAGAACTGAACTAGAACTGAACTAGAACTGAACTAGAACTGAACTAGAACTGAACTAGAACTGAACTAGAACTGAACTAGAACTGAACTAGAACTGAACTAGAACTGAACTAGAACTGAACTAGAACTGAACTAGAACTAGAACTGAACTAGAACTGAACTAGAACTGAACTAGAAACTGAACTAGAACTGAACTAGAACTGAACTAGAACTGAACTAGAACTGAACTAGAACTGAACTAGAACTGAACTAGAAAGAACTGAACTAGAACTGAACTAGAACTGAACTAGAACTGAACTAGAACTGAACTAGAACTGAACTAGAACTGAACTAGAACTGAACTAGAACTGAACTAGAACTGAACTAGAACTGAACTAGAACTGAACTAGAACTGAACTAGAACTGAACTAGAACTGAACTAGAACTGAACTAGAACTGAACTAGAAACTGAACTAGAACTGAACTAGAACTGAACTAGAACTGAACTAGAACTGAACTAGAACTGAACTAGAACTGAACTAGAACTGAACTAGAACTGAACTAGAACTGAACTAGAACTGAACTAGAACTGAACTAGAACTGAACTAGAACTGAACTAGAACTGAACTAGAACTGAACTCGAACTGAACTAGAACTGAACTAGAACTGAACTCGAACTGAACTCGAACTGAACTAGAACTGAACTAGAACTGAACTAGAACTGAACTAGAAGAACTAGAACTGAACTAGAACTGAACTAGAACTGAACTGAACTAGAACTGAACTAGAACTGAACTAGAACTGAACTAGAACTGAACTAGAACTGAACTAGAACTGAACTAGAACTGAACTAGAACTGAACTAGAACTGAACTAGAACTGAACTAGAACTGAACTAGAACTGAACTAGAACTGAACTAGAACTGAACTAGAACTGAACTAGAACTGAACTAGAACTGAACTAGAACTGAACTAGAACTGGACTAGAACTGGACTAGAACTGAACTAAAACTGAACTAGATTTGAAATAGAAGTAAGAACAATTTTTTTATTGCGTCTTTCTGATTGCAAACATGTTTCTTTAATTACAGAACTCAGCTGAATCACTATTACGTAGTGCTCTACAAGGTAAAGGCTATGCGAAAGGTTTACACATGCACAATGGTATTACGTTAATGTCAACATCACCCACAGTCAAAGATGATGAAATGAGGAGAATATTGTTTCCAGTTGATACGGTAAGTAAACATTTTGCTTAATTTTCTTTATTTCCACAAAATCGTTTCAATTCGCTAAACAGTCTTCCAACGACATCTTAGTTAGTTAACACATAACTTAATTTTACCAAATGTTTCAAAAGTATAAAGAAAAACTTTCCTTAAATTTTTTTATTTCATTCCCTTTAGGACGGCTTAAATTTCTCCGATACTTCACTAAGTGCTGCACAAATTTTCGATGATACTCAAACAGCCAACGGCCATAACCCCCATATGGTTGTGCCACATTCACCCGTCACAAATGGTCCTCTAACGCCAGTCACAAATAATCCAAATAACAACAGTAATAACAATGCCAGTAATCAAGCCAGCAGCCTTATAGTTGATGACATGTTCCTAACATTAGAAAATGCCTTTAGTGATGATTTTGAGAAAATCAAACAGTTTTGTACAGCAGGATCTAATACAAACGACTATGGCGCAAATGATGTGATGATGCAAATTTCACCAAATGGCAATGCGACAACACAGTCCACAAATGCCAACACGGGCAGTATACAAGCGGTGACAACTGCACATCAGCCAATGCTGACAAGTCTACATTCGTCCGCAATAGCCACAACACCAAATAATGCCGGTAGACTATCGACTCCAGTAGGCGGTATGGCAACAACAATACCAACACAACAGCAGCAGCAACAACCACCACCTCAGCCATTAAAACCGGAAGTGACTACTTCAACACAGCGCATTGTCTCCACAGCGAAAGTAACGAAAAAATACAAACGTTCATTATCAACAGCTCATCATAATAGCAACAACAACAACAATCCAAATGTCATTAATCATAATAACAACACATCGAATAACAACAAAGGATCCTCAAACAATATGACACTAACAAATGGTCAAAATCGTAATGGCAATAATTCAAGTGGTAGCAGCACCAACAGCAGTAACAGTCCCACCCATTGTAATGGCTTGGTGGCTGGTGGTGGGGTCATGGGTGGTAACACCACTGCCACCAGCGCAACTAACAACTCTTCCACCACTTCCTCCTCATCTTCGTCATCTGCTGCGACACCAGGACAACGTAAGGAGCGCTCTCTACACTATTGTTCCATATGTTCAAAAGGTTTCAAGGACAAATATTCCGTTAATGTACACATACGAACTCATACCGGTGAGAAACCTTTCGCCTGCACTTTGTGTGGTAAAAGTTTTCGTCAAAAGGCTCACTTGGCCAAACACTACCAGACCCATATGGCCCAGAAAAATAATGGCAGTTTGGTAAAGGGTAGTTCGAGCAAACATCACCGTACCTCCAGCACACAAAATTTAAATACATCCGCCCTTGCGTCACACAATCATCCAAGATCTTTAAGTTTAGCAAGCGCACCAAACACACCCTCATCGATGGGCGGCTCTAGTGTGGGTGGTTTAGTCAGTGGCATTCTGTCGTCAAGTGGTTTACCACCATTGGGTGTTACCGTCTCAGCGTCATCGGCTCCTACAACGCCCACAACAATACTGCCGCCAGCTAATGGTTTGCTGGCTAACAGGTAGAATTTATTAGTGTTTATTTCTGTTTTCCTAAACAGTTTTTAGAGTAAAATATTAGTATTAATAACTTTTCACTTCGAGTTTATTTAACTTTATTTTACATTTAACTATCTTTTTGTTCCTAATTTTTTATGTTTAATTTTTATTTCGAAATGCTATTTACACTCAAAGAATTTATTTTTATTTTACTTTTACTTAAAAAAATACTCACACTCACCATAATAACGAAGGAAAGATCAAAACTGTCCATAGTTTTTTAACGAATTTATTTTAACTATTTTAGGTAAATTATTTATTTTTTGTTTAATTATTATTTTGTTTGTGTGTTTGTTTGTTTTTTTTAACTATTTAAACTCGTTTTATTCCTAGCTGTAATTTGAAAGGTTTAAAGAGGAGAGTTTGGTGTTGACGATCAAATGAAAGTTAAAAGTTTATTTATTGGTGGAAAGATTTGAAATTATTTTAAAACACTTAAAATATTTAATAAAAACTTTTCGAATTTAGTTTAACTATTATGTATTATCGATTGACGGGTTCCAAAGTTATCCAGTTTAGAACTTTAAAAATATCATAAGCATAAATTATGGATCCAGTTTAGTTCAGTTCTGGTTCAGTTCTAGTTCAGTTCTAGTTCAGTTCTAGTTCAGTTCTAGTTCAGTTCTAGTTCAGTTCTAGTTCAGTTCTAGTTCAGTTCTAGTTCAGTTCTAGTTCAGTTCTAGTTCAGTTTCTAGTTCAGTTCTAGTTCAGTTCTAGTTCAGTTCTAGTTCAGTTCTAGTTCAGTTCTAGTCAGTTCTAGTTCAGTTCTAGTCAGTTCTAGTTCAGTTCTAGTTCAGTTCTAGTCAGTTCTTGTTCAGTTCTAGTTCAGTTCTAGTTCAGTTCTAGTTCAGTTCTAGTTCAGTTCTAGTTCAGTTCTTGTTCAGTTCTAGTTCAGTTTCTAGTTCAGTTCTAGTTCAGTTCAAGTTCTAGTTCAGTTCTAGTTCAGGTTCTAGTTCAGTCTAGTTCAGTTCTAGTTCAGTTCTAGTTCTAGTTCAGTTCTAGTTCAGTTCTAGTTCAGTTCTAGTTCAGTTCTAGTTCAGTTCTAGTTCAGTTCTAGTTCAGTTCTAGTTCAGTTCTAGTTCAGTTCTAGTTCTAGTTCAGTTCTAGTTAGTTCTAGTTCAGTTCTAGTTCAGTTCTAGTTCAGTTCTAGTTCAGTTCTAGTTCAGTTCTAGTTCAGTTCTAGTTCAGTTCTAGTTCAGTTCTAGTTCAGTTCTAGTTCAGTTCTAGTTCAGTTCTAGTTCAGTTCTAGTTCAGTTCTAGTTCAGTTCTAGTTCAGTTCTAGTTCAGTTCTAGTTCAGTTCTAGTTCAGTTCTAGTTCAGTTCTAGTTCAGTTCTAGTTCAGTTCTAGTTCAGTTCTAGTTCAGTTCTAGTTCAGTTCTAGTTCAGTTCTAGTTCAGTTCTAGTTCAGTTCTAGTTCAGTTCTAGTTCAGTTCTAGTTCAGTTCTAGTTCAGTTCTAGTTCAGTTCTAGTCGTTCTAGTTCAGTTCTAGTTTAGTTCTAGTTCAGTCCTAGTTCAGTTCTAGTTCAGTTCTAGTTCAGTTCTAGTTCAGTTCTAGTTCAGTTCTAGTTCAGTTCTAGTTCAGTTCTAGTTCAGTTCTAGTTCAGTTCTAGTTCAGTTCTAGTTCAGTTCTAGTTCAGTTCTAGTTCAGTTCTAGTTCAGTTCTAGTTCAGTTCTAGTTCAGTTCTAGTTCAGTTCTAGTTCAGTTCTAGTTCAGTTCTAGTTCAGTTCTAGTTCAGTTCTAGTTCAGTTCTAGTTCAGTTCTAGTTCAGTTCTAGTTCAGTTCTAGTTCAGTTCTAGTTCAGTTCTAGTTCAGTTCTAGTTTAGTTCTAGTTCAGTTCTATTTCAGTTCCAGTTCATTTAAAATTTAAAATTTGATTCATATAAGTGTATACTACTTCCTCCACTTTAATTTTTTTCAAATTACTCCACAACTTAACTCCTTATCAAAAAAATCAACTATCAAATAATTATATTTTGAATAATTTAATGTAAAAAAAAAAAAAAACAAAATTTAAAAAAATAATCACTGTACTATAAAATGTGCCAAATCAAATAACAAATAAAAAATGAAGTTTAATATAAAAAATCATAAAAACCAAGTGATTAAAATAAATAATAAAAAAATATTAAAAATAAAAACCAAGTATTGTACTATATTAAAAAAAGTAATTTAAATAATTAAAAAACTAATGTAAATATTTGAAAAACTTAATAAAAAACTACTAGTAAAAGAAAAATTTTTTGAAAATACTTGCCATTTTGAAAAGGAAATGAAATGAAAACCAGTGTTTATTTTATGATATTAACTAAAATATTTAATTATCAACTAATGAATAGCTGTAATTTAAATAAATTAATAAATTAGTAAATAAATGAAATTTGTTTTTAATGCCAAGTATTTTTTTCTATATTTATGTGTTTGTAATAAATGTTTATAAACTTGTAATTTAACTGCCAATAATTTAAAATGAAAAACTTTTAGCCAGTAATAATTAAATTAATTAAAAAATAAATAAAATTTAAAAATATTTTATGTGATTTTTTTTTTCTACACTTTATTATTAAATTTATTTTTTTGTTTAACAAAAAAATAGAAACTAAATGCAATTTTTATTTAGTAAATGGTTGGGGGCTCTTTCTTTTTATTTGTTGCTATTTTTAAAACAAAAACTATTTTAAAGTATCAATTAAATAAATTTAAAATAATTTATTATGTATTTTTATTATTATTGTATTATTTTGTTTGTTAATTAAATAATTATTTGCATTGCTTTATTTTATTTTAATTTGGCATGTGTATGTAAATATATTTTTTTTTTCTATAGAAAAAAAGAAAGAAATCAAGATTTGTTTATAAAAATAATTAAAAATTAAACTAAAAAGCATAAAAATCATTTTGCAATGATTTATTATTGTTGATTGTTCTATAGTTTAACTATGATAGCAAATGTATTTTTTTATTGATATTGATTTTAAATAATTACAACAAAACAACAATAATTGTAAAATTTGTTATTAGAAAGTTTGATTTTGAGATTAAGTTTTTTTTAATTTTTATAATTTATTAGTAATAATTTGTTTATTAAAACGTTTATAAAATGAACAGATTTTTTTTATTATTTAATAAATAAAATTTTTAATCATAATCATATAATTAAAATTTAAATAATGTTGTTTGTTTTGTGTTGTAATTTAAATTGATATATAATAATTGCATGAAATGGTAAGTATTTAAAGTGGTTAAAAAAAAGTTATTTTATATATCAATGGTTTGGATATTAAGTCAAATTTTCAGAAATTTTATAAGTTTTTAGCAATTTATTTAGTTTCTTTGGCTATCATATATACTAGGAACCGGTTTATCGTAAAACTTTACAAAATAATTAAGAACATATTGGGCCATCCAAAATGGATTCTGTAATGTGACATCAACTTATTCTATTCTGAGTCGAATTAAATATGTCCGTCTATCTATCTGTCTGTCTGCCTTAGACACTCTCACGTTAAAACTAAGCAAAATTGATGAACAAAATTCACCGAAAATATTTACTGTTATCCTAAAAAGTTTAATACTAAAAATCAGTGAAATCGGTTCACATCTTAAAATGTTATGAGTAAAAATTTCAGACCACCTCGAAAACCTCCTCTGAAAAAAGCAAGAATCAATTGTGTTCAAAATCAATCGGTGCAAAATTTCCCATAGCCCCCATACAGAATTTTGTATATATAAATATAATATAAACAAAAATCATATTACCTACGCAGATCTGATGGGTCCACAATTGATCAAATATGCCATATAAGGTCCACTTCAAAAATCACTTAAACACATACTATATATTTCAGAAATAAATAAAACTGCCGGAATAAAATTCGACATTAATATCTCTTGAGTATCGGCCATATATCCCATATCTCCCGTCATTTCTCCCATATAAGGTTCACTTCCGAAAAACGCTTAAAAGCACATATTTCATAAATAAATAAAGCTATCGCGACTTGAATATCTTCTGGTTATACATATATAAATTATTCAGCGAAATTTTTATCCGGATCAGTTCCATATAAGGTCCACTTTCGAAAATCACTTAAACGCTCATATTTCAATGATAAATAGAGCTATCGGGATAAAATTCGACTTTAATATGTTTTGTATATAATTATATAAATTATTATACTAATTGGTAATAGCTCCCATATAAGGTCCACTTCCGAAAATCATTTTAACGCACTCATTTCCTTGACAATCAAAGTTATATATTCGCGTTCAATAAGGAGCGTGTATTTTTATTTTCATTCGTTTGTCTTCCACATTATAGAAAATTTCGAAAGTACTATTTTAAGAAGGAAAAAGTACTACAAAATATGTACCTTTTAAAGGTTCTCATTCAATCAAAAAATTGTATGTTTCCGTATTCAATATTATAGAAAATTCAAAAAATATAATTTGATGAACAATAAAGTACCAATACTCCTTTTTATTAGATTATCATTCACTTAGGTCTTCACACGTTAAATTTTATAATTACATATATGTTCAATATCGTAAAAAGTTCAATATTTTAAAATATCCCAGCAAAAAATCTAAAATTTTTGGTAATAGCCAGTAGTTATTTCATACATTACTTGGTAATGAGTGTTCATTATCATCCACATTATTTCATTTAGCTGAATAGGTTATTACTGGTAAAGAACTAAACAATTTGGATTTGTTATAGCTCAATTGTCTAGGATGTTCATTTAACAAAAAGGTTCGTGGTTCGAGCCCTGCTGGATACTGTTTATTTTTATACCCTACACCACTTTAGTGGGGAGGGTATATTGGGTTTGTGCTGATGTTTGTAACGCACAATAATATTGGTCCTATACCCACCTTAAAGTATACCAATCGGCTCAGAATCATTTTCTGAGTCGATTTAGCTATGTCCGTCCGTCTGTCCGTCCGTCTGTCCGTCCGTCTGTCCGTCCGTCTGTCCGTCCGTCCATGTAAACCTTGTAATCAAACTACAGGTCGCAATTTTGAAGATAATTCAATGAAATTTTGTACATGATCTTCTATTGTCCCAGGGACGAAGCCTATTGAAAATGGTTAAGATCGGTCCATTATTTCACCTAGCCCCCATATAACTGAACCCCCCAATTGGGCTTGTAATCCTTGTAATCAAACTACAGGTCGCAATTTTGAAGATAATTCAATGAAATTTGGTACATGATCTTCTATTGTCCCAGGGACGAAGCCTATTGAAAACGGTTAAGATCGGTCCATTATTTCACCTAGCCCCCATACAACTGAACCCCCCAATAGGGCTTGTAATCCTTGTAATCAAACTACAGGTCGCAATTTTGAAGATAATTCAATGAAATTTGGTACATGATCTTCTATTGTCCCAGGGACGAAGCCTATTGAAAATGGTTAACATCGGTCCATTATTTCACCTAGCCCCCATACAACTGAACCCCTCGAATAGGGCTTTTAAAACTTTTAATCAAACTACA